TCACACTTGGGCCCTCACTTTCTCACAGCTCATGCATGTGCTCCAGATAGGACACTATTAATACAGCAGCAGTGTTATCTATTTGAAGGAGAGATATAAAATTTTTAAAAAGCTGGTAAAAGGAAGAGAAGGTGTCGAGATAAATATTTACCCTGCAGTGCATTTCATCCGGAAATTAGTCTGAGACTTTTACAGTAATTATCTCAGTTTTGCAGAGGTGTGCTTCTGACCTGGAATTTAGTCACAGCTCGTCTAGCGTGACATACATTTTATTTTGGTGAATATCGTTTGTTCCTCCCCGTTCTCGCTTTCTCTCGCATTTCTCTCTTCCCACTCTATATCCTGTTTTTGTTCTTGGCATACTTCTTTTTTTTTTTTTTGGTTGTTTTTTACACACCTAAAGGGCAACTTTAGCACGAGATGTGGGTAAACATGCAGCGCTGGGATGGAGGGTCATTTACTGCATTGATTTTATTACTGAGTTGAAGCTCTGTTTTCTTTTTAAATAGACGTGCAGCGTTATGACAGGAAGGCGTGAGGGGGGTCATCACTGGTCTGTGATGAGGTGATAAAGTGAAGTGCAGGGCAGGTCCAGGCCTGTGCAAAAAAAAAAAAACCCCTCCACGCTTGTCCCCTCCCTGTGAGAAGCTCCCGGTTCCCAGGCCCCGGTGTGTACGTTTGTGGGGCAATAACTCACCAGGTCCCTTGACTTCCTCTTTCGGCCCTCTGCGCTTTATGACCCTGTCCTCTGCCGTACAGCTGCCGTCTCCGCAGCTTCCCTCGGCTCTGATTGGATCGGACGGGAGTTTGAGGAGCAGAGGATGAAGGGGGAAGAGAGCGGGGAAGCAGCTGGGATGAGGAGGTTTGATGGTTTTTTTATGATGGTCATTACCTGATGGACACATCCACAGGTCCGCGTCGTGCTGCGGCTTCCCACCGCGCTGCAGGTGTACAGCGGGAAGCTAGCATCATGAGGCAGGATGTCCGTTTTGTTTTCACTTTGTGACACGCTTTTCGCTTTTGATTCGAGCAGTAATTCAACTTTCCTTTAAGGTCACACTCCAGACACAAATGAAACCCACGATTTCTGTGTATCAAAGTTGTTTTTTTTAATGAGCGTAATCCCTTCCTACACTGTTGCTTCCTTTATAATGTGCAGAATCACAAAGTCTAAACCCACCTGCTACAACTCGAGCACACCAGCTCACCACGACTGGCTCAAACACTGTGTAATACAAACATCAAAGAGCATTAAAAAAAAAGGATATGATAGCATTGAATTAAAATTAAGGCTAGTCCTTGGTTCTCAACTGAACTTTCTTTTGTTCAAATAAACAAAGTCTACAGTCATATGTACGCCTTGCTAGCACTGAAAAGCTAAATCCAACTATCACTCGAACTGCCAAAGTTCTGGGAAGCAGTAAAAACAAATCTTCTAATTCTAACTGATCACATATTACGTTTCATGATTTTTAATACGACTGCAAGGTGGTTACCACTGTTGCCTCACAGCAAGAAGGTCGCTGGTTCGCGTCCCGGTGAGAACACCCAGGATCTTTCTGTGTGGAGTCTCCATGTTCTCCCTGTGCAGCGTGGGTTCTCTCCAGGTTCTCCGGCTTCCTCCCACACAGTCCAAAAACATGCTGAGGTTAATTGGTGATTCTAAATTGTCTGTAGGTGTGAATGTGAGTGTGCTTGGTTGTCTGTCTCTAAGTGTAGCCCTGTGATAGACTGGTTACCTGTCCAGGGTGTCTCCTGCCTTCACCCTGAGTCAGCTGGGATAGACTCCAGCCCCCCATGACCCTAGTGAGGATTAAGTGGTGTATAGATGATGGACGGATGGATTTTTTAATAAATAACACCAGATTTCTGACATGCTTTCAGTTTGTATTTCTCTGCTGCCGGCAATCAGTTCAATGTGATGAATTCAGGTTCCTGTCTCGATAGTCGACATTCACCTCATGTGTCCTCTGTGTATCAAAGTTCAACATTTTTTAGTATGTAATCCATTCCTAATCATTGCTTCCTCTATAATGGGCACATCTACGAAGTCTCCACCCACCCTCTACAACTCGAGCACACCAGCTCACCTACGTTTTTGCTCAAACACTGTAAAACTAATGTACGTTACATAGCGATAAACTGTGAAATTAGAGTATTTGAGCTGTACTGTTTTCACAGCCCCATCCTGTAACTCAGCATAAGGTACATGTTAATCTGTAGCTGTCTGAACTGTTCATCATTCGTCTGCTAAAACTTAAAGGTAGAAATGCTCAGCTGTGGCATTAACTGCATATTTCATTCATTTCGATCCCAAATGAAAAAAAAAAAAAAAGAAAACTTGAGTTGAGATTTTAATCCATGGCTTTTATCTCTACTGTGAAGTATACCATCAATAAAGTTTTCACACATGGGCCAACACTGACCCAGTTGGGGTCAGACTAGTACCAGTGCAGTATTAGGTTTAACCATATCCAGCCCCCGTGTGTAGAAAACCTCCCAGGACAAGGAGATGAGCTATTTTTAGCCACGTTAGGCCCAAGCGATAGCAGCGCCGGTCCGTCAGTCTGTTCACCACTTGGCTGCAGGCTGCAGTCCAACAACAGTTATTCAACGCCTTAAAGTGAAACATTGAAGATCCCCAGAGGAGGAACCCTGCTGAATTTGGGGATCCCTTGATTTTTGTTTCACTTATATAGAGGATGGATTAACCCCTACAGCCAGTTGTAATAGATTTGGTGAAGCTTTGATGGGACCTCTACCGCCACCATCAGGTCAAATTTGTGACCAAACAACTGCAAACTTGTGACATTAACATCAGTCTCAGCTGCACCTTCTCTCTAGTGATAATTAAAAACTAGCATGACAGTAGATCCTCAGTCTTATTTATGCTACCGCTACCGAGATTACAAACTGTTATTTTGATTCCAGCTATTTTTAAACTGACTATACATGTCAGTGATTGTTTAAATAGTACTATACATACATTATTTTGTGCAGCTAATTTCTGCCAGCCCTCGGATTAGATCTGATTGCGTCGTGTTAAACTCAAAGCACTGAGTGAATTAAACGAGATCAAATCTGTGAGGCTCAGAGGATGTGAAAGAATCAATGAAGACGAAATGAATTCGTACCGCTGCACGCTGTCTGTTCGTTCCAGTGAAAGTTAAAAGCTAACGTGATGAAGTCGGTGCGGCGGAAACACGACTGGAACACGCCGTGTCTGACTTTACATGCCTCACTGTTCCGCTGACTTTGACGTGAAGTGGCTGAAGTTGAAGGTTGAGGTTATTTTAATGTCCTGTTTCTTTAAGATTACAAAAGACTGGTGTGTGGGTGGACGGCTATGTGGTTCTGTATGTCTTTGACAGGAAATTTAATCAAGATAAAGGTAAATATGAGCTGGTAACACAGGTTTTTGCTCTTGAAAACTGATAAAATAAAAAAAAAAGGTGCCAGACGGCACTGACCTTTCTACCTGCGTCGGCTGTGTGTGTGTGTGTTTAAATCAGGCTATGTGTGTTTAGCACATGCGCCATATTCCTGACCTCTGATCACACAAAGTATTTTAATCCAATCAGCTTCGTTTTCACATGACTGTCACACACTCGCTGCTGCTATGGCAACCTGCAGAGGAAGGAGAGCGAGCAGAGAGAGGGGCATGTTGTCCTGTTTTTACTCGCTGTGAAATTAATATGTTCTCGCACATGCTCCGTTTTTACACTTCGCCTCCTTGTTTGTCAGCTAAATATAAAAGTGAAGTGACGTTTGAAGGATAGAAATGAGGATTTTTTTAATTAAAATCTCCTAAAACAACGACAGCATTTGAACATTTAACAGGAAATAAAGCGCTCTGACTGCACGATGTAGTAAATAAGCAACAGTTAAAGTGTTGAATTGCAGGCAACATCCATGAATGCAGAGCGTGATCATGCCCTTTTCTCCCTGCTCGCATGTTTGGTGCAACTTTTGGATGGAAATGGAATAAAGCTTCAACGAGAAGAGCGGTTTCAGCCAGAGGTTGGAGCAGAACCGGGTTAATGGTGACAAACCACGACAGAAACAGCAGACGGGACAGAAAGATGAAGTATGCAAAAAGACAAACAGGCTGCAGTCAACAGCAGTGACAGTTAACAAAAAGGAAGGCTTGATATGAAAACCCCATCTTCAAGCAGTTTCAGTGGAACAAGATTACAAAGAACAATGGCTTTTATCACAACTGAGGCCAAACTTACAAATACCCACTTCCCTTGAGAGGTGAAAAGGTTATTCTGTGCCCTGTGGTTTGTTTTTTGGCACGCTACCCTCGGCTGCTTCTCATTTTTTTCTCCGACATTTCCTGTTCTACCTCAAGCCCAGACTGCTGCTCCGTGAGCTTACAGACGTCAGCGTCGCGTTTTGTCGCGCTACACATCTGCAACATTTTTTCTGCAGCCTATGCTTGTTTTTTTTTCATCCTTATAAACTTTATTTGGAGGACATCAGCAGCAGAAGTTGCAAGTCAGGGAGATTTTTGAGGCTCGTTTTTGCAACAGTAAGCGAAGCGCTCCACCTGCTGGTGAACAGTGGTATCGCCACACGGACGGACAGCGGTGCAGAAAAGCTTTGAGAGGTTTACCATCAACAGCCAGCCACCAAAACCTTTTGATGGTCTGGAAGAAGTAAAAAAAATACAATCCTCTAAGTTAACATTTCCCCGTTTTTTTCTTCAGTTTTTCTTGCAAGCCGTTTTAAATGTCAAATCTCACTTGGTTTAAATGGCAAAGTTCATAAAACTGAGACCCACTGCAGAAGTGAAACACCAGCTTAACACTCTCATCAGCTACCTTTGCCTTCCAACAGTCTCTCTGCAGTGTCAACTGGTTGCACTTTGCAGTATGTGTAATCTATACTCTCACAAAGTGTTGCAAAGTGCACGCTTGCTGATGTGCACTCCGATTTGAATAACGGCTGATAGTCATCAGTTCAACTCAAGGTCCTCTTGACAGACAGGGAGGGAGTTTTTGTGCAAATAATTTTATTCATAGAAAGCAGACATAACAGAAAAAGAGCTGGCGTCCTTTTCCAGCTGGGAGCAGACGGCGGCCGCCTGTTCACACCTGTGACTCTGAGCCTGAAGCCACTTTTTTTTTTTTTAAATCGAGCCTGCACTTGTGTAAACTTCAAAGTAAAAGGACCGAACCAGACACACTTTTTTTTTTTTTTTTTTTTTATAAATGCCTGCTTGAAGAAAGGTGCCGTCATGGTGCAAGAATATCTCAAGAGAACGTGGATGCAGGCCAGGATAGGGGCTGCACAAAGGTTTATTAGGGTTAAACTCTTGTGTTTCTCTTCACCTCTAATGGCTCATAACCAACAATAAGATGCATAAAGAAATCGAGATCTGGTAAACTAAAAAACAAACCTTAATATTAGTTGATCATTTTTTTTACCAAAATGCACTCTAGAAGTCATAAGGCGTTTTTTGATTTATGGCAAATTCCAGCCAGTCTCTTTGAAAACAGCTCTTTAAACTTCAACACACACACCAGCTCTTAAAGGGGAGAACTTATCAGAGAGATCATATTTTATCACTATTATGATACTTTATAAATATCTAGATTTGTGTTTTTCAGAACTACGATGTTAAACCTCTTCCCTTAGTTGGCTACGATGTGAAAAAAGTGACCGTTTGTTGTGTTTTGAGCATGAAAAGCACCTTCATGTCCAACTTGTGCACACTAAACTGACATGCAACTACTATTTATTCTTATTGAAAATAACTAACCTGCAAGGGAAGGCTGATATATGAGTATGGGGTGAGTAAAATAAACAACTCTCCCCTGCTGTCCCTCACTTTTAGCGTCACTAACATCCAGTAAAAGAAATCTGCAGGTGGAATAAGATTTGCAAGGCTTCCATACAGTATTAAAAAGTCTACTTAAATTACTTACTGTTACTAAGCCTATTTAATGTCCTACTGAAGCTAAATGTTTTGCAAATATGTCTCGTAGATACTGTAAGTTGTCCTTGAAGCCATCACTATAACGATTATTATATTAAATGAACAGTATTCCCCATGTAATGTGGTCAGGATAAATAAAATGTTGTGATTTTTTTCTGGTTTCTGTATTATTAGACAGTATACAAGGTTGAATCAGCCACTCCTGTTACAGTACAGTACAGCTTTGGAAACTCACAAAACAGGACATTTTCTTCTCTTAATTTTTCCCTTCACGCTCGCACACGAATCAACTTCAAAAACAAACAAACAAACAAAAAAATAATAATCATACACCCGCACGCATTCGCTCATTTCCTCTCCGATCCAGGGCAACTACGAGAGCATTTACTGTATAACTGTTAATAATAAAACTATGTAATATGACATCATTTATATTCAGATCACACATCCATGGACAGGCGAGAAACAGAAATGGGCGGTGGTACGTCTGCAAAAGTCTTATTAAGAGCAGGGATCCTGTTTTTAGTCGAAGGTGACAGCTTTTTTCTTCCGAGTCTGCAGACTCCGTGCAGCTCATTTTCCACTTCAATACCCCCCTTCCCTCTTCTTCTTCTTCTTCCGTCTCTCAGAGCCACCAGAAGCGTACATAGACAATGAGCATGATGAAAAAGACGCCGCCGGCTGCCAGTTTGGCATAGGTGGAGCGGGTGTTCAGATACTTGGCGTCGCTCCTGTACTTTTTCGACAGGCTGGACAAGTTGACGGCCTTGGAGTCGAGTGCTGCGTAGAGGAGGAAGCAGAGGAGAGTGAGTTGAAGACAAAAGAGGTAAGAGGAGAGTGGTGGAGAGGAGGAGGGAAGGAGGGAAGGGCACGGACAAATGTTGAAAAAGACATGTCATGATCATAGACTGTATAAAAGATGGACGTAGCAACCGGCCCTGAAAAATTAAGCCAACCTGGAAGTGTCAAAAACCTGCAATATCACTACGTCCACTAGCTGCTGGCTCCAAAAAGCCCTGGCTCCCATAGATTGGAATTGGAAAAGAAGTGATCACAGATCATGAAATACTGCATTCCTCCAGCTCAGGATTTGTTTCTTATTAGTTTTCATAGTCAAATCCAGAGATCAGGTGGCCAACAAAAAATTGTCAAAATTTTGCGGGGCAAGGGACGTGGCTGGCTTGATTGACAGTCGGCAGCGACCATACAGATGAAGCGAGCAGAAGGCGGTAAATGTGGCAGAGAGGGCCCACCTCTCAATCCATCTGACCAATCGCTGCTCCTATGGCTCCGCCCCCCTCCAATGACTTTTGCATCACTGGCTCCAAAAATCCAAGATGTCAACCAGGAAGTAGCAAAAACCCTGGCTTCATTTTCTCAGTGCAGAAACCAACGGGTGACGTCACGGAAGCTACGTCCATCTTTTACACAGTCTATGATTTAAACATCTTGTATTGAAGTGCATTTAGGTCTGGCACAGTCCCATAAGGCAGAATATCACTTTACTTTTTAGCCAAATCAAAGAAAAAGTTCTATTATTGACACTAATCTATTTTCTAATCTACATCCTATCAGCTGCAGCGTCAACACACTTGACGGCAAGTCAGAACCAAACATATTTATGTGATTTCTGCATCACCAGATAAATGAATGTTGGGTTCTGCGGCAACGCGATGCAAACAGTTAGCGGTACCGTAACTGCACGGCTTCAATCAGTGGTTTTGGTAAAGTACAGTTCAGGTTTGCAGATGTAACGTATTGTCACAGCTGACAATCTGCATCCCTCAAAGAATGGTCAGGAAATGGTTTTGGTAAAGGGAGATGCTTCCTGCAGCAGATTTAACTCCTTAACATCCTTCTGGACCAGGTTAGTGCTGCAGCATCAGTTACCATGGTGACCTAGCAGGCTAACCCACTGATCTGGCTTCGTAGTTTAGCCTTCAGAGTGGGTCGGAGGTAAAGACTTACCAGAGAGAGCTTCTCCTCTCTGTAGCACTTCCTCTATGTTCGCCACCATGATCCTCTGAACGTCCTGCAGCTCTGTGTTGATGCTGCCCAGGTTCCTTCTCGCTCGGCTGTCAATGTACGACTTCTTGGTTTTTTGAATGTATGTGTCTGAGGAGAGAGAGACAAAGACTAAGATGACTGCCAGCTCACCACTGTAGCTCCACCATCCCTGCACGTTCTTAAATCTGCATGTTTGAGGATTTCAACTTCAAAAACCGAGGCATAAAAGTCTGGAAGCGAAGATAAACAGTGCAGCGTGAGAGCTCGTCTTTATCAGTTTTCTGTGAGTGAATCGCTGTCAGGCTTTAACCAAGATTGTATGCAAAACGAGCATCGAGGCTCTGCAAGCTTTAACCAAAAACCAACAAAGGGAGATAGCGTGGTAGCTGGTCGAGACGCAGCGCTGCATGATTCTTTTTTTTTTTTTCACCTTCCACTTTTCACGGTAAGGAACCAGATTACAGTTTGCAAGAATTCTGAGCCTGAAAACAAACCGACTGATATTACTTTTGTCCCTCAGGGATGTACAGCTACTGTCGATACTGACCTCATTGAACAGATCAGGTGCAGGCCAACTGAGACTGATACACATCAAGTTTGTTTGTTTTTCTTTTTAATCCCCTGATAAAACTCTGAGGATACTCAGGTCTAAAAAATGATTCAGATACATTCTAAAAAGTAAAATGTACAGATTTTAATTTGGTCTGGATTTGATACTGAGTTTACCAGGAGACTGGATCACGACTAACTTTTTAAATCCATAATAATAAGTCATCACTACTACACTGTATGTATTATAAAATATGTCACACTGGTCACCAATGGATTAGAGACAAACAAGCACAACAGACTAACTACCACTGGAGCTGAAACAGCGACCAGTATGTAGGATTTATGGGCTTTATGAGCAGAAATAGAAAAGAATGTTTAGAATTAAGTTTACATTCTTGTTTTTTTGCTAGCTTTTTATATCTACATAAGGAGCTGTGTATGTGATGTTTCTACAGCAGCCATGAATGGACAAATCAAACACTATACAAAGAGTTTTTATATTGAGGTAGCAGCTGCTGGATTTTCTCCGTCGGCATTCATTTGGTTCTGATGTATAACCTCACCACCAGATGGAATTAAATCCAACTTCATGCTTTAATGTCAGTGTAGTGACCAGTGGTGCTACATGCTTTCAGAGCTGGATCAAAGTGTCTCACAGCTCTGTCTTTTTCTTACCAAATTCAATGAAGGAATACGGGCGGGACACCGTGGGGACCTTCTTCCCGTGCTGCTCGTGAAACTCTGCCTGCAGGTCTTCTAGGTAAGCGAAGGCTAGCTTCTTGGGGAAGCTGGCTTCGCACAGCACGAGGTAGCACACGCCTTTCTCTATGAAGTAACTGAAAGAGGAGGCAAAAGGGCATTAAGACACAACGTGGGGATGGACGCTGCAGTAGAACTTTTCAAACTAGGATTGAAAATGATTAGCAAATCTGAGCAAAACTTCTAGGGATGGTTTATGCTGCCCATTGATACATATATGTACTGCTCAAAAACATTTGGGGAACACTTAATCATCTCGTTATAGCACCAGTTCTACTCTATATGTATTTATACTCTGCGGTTCAGGCTGCACGCTGTGGTCTCAATACTCAATAACCACGCTTTGCAGCCTGTCTGACCAGCGTTCAAACTGTGTGTCAGCGGTTTAAGAAATTCAGGCCGGCCTCCTTGTGCAACAGCCTTTGATGGGATCTTATGTGGTCATCACATGTTTTCAATCTATTATGCAGTTAATATTGGACTGAAGCTTGACTTTTAAAAAACAATCTGATCACAACGATTGTCAGAGAAGTTAGGTTTTTGCAAAATGGTTCAGCCCATGAGATTAGAAGCACACACATTTTTTACATGACTTTGTTAGGAAACCGTCGCTTGCAGACAAATGCTGTGTAATCTTCTTTGAGCAACACTTCATACTCACTGAAATGACATCGAGCCGGCCTCTAAAGTGCAGCGCGTGGGACTCTGGTCATTGAGTTTCCTGAAGAGCTGCTTAGCTTGACTCTGATACTGCTGAAGATCCCGACCCAGCTGAAGAGGTGGAAAAAAAACAACACAGGTCATCACCCAGGTCACGGATACACACACACACACACACACACACACACACACACAACACGGTGTTGAATCAGGGCAAGACTTTTATATGCACCTCTGAGGGCAGAATCCACAAGCAAATGGTCTTATTTATGGTAGAAATGTTGATGAGACAGACAAAAACAGAAACCACCTACAGTCCAGATTTTACACTATTATTCTTGGTTGTGTTAATTTGTTGCCCAGTAAAGTGAAAATAAAACATGTGCATAAAAAGACTGCAGACAGACAGACAGACTGAGCAGTGTGATGCTACAGCTGAAGGAAACAAGACAAAAAGGCTACAGATTGTGATTCATCACTAATGGTCAGCATTTGGCTGGTGCAAAGTTTTCCTTTTGTTGGTTCTAGCAAATGACACTAATGTTTACAGCAGCACTGTAGCATCACAGAGACAAGTATGATGTAGAAGCACAGAGCAGAGACACGACAAACCTTTTCACTTCCCTTTTTGAAAGCAAACAAGAGAGTGAGGGAAAGATGTTAGACTCCTGTTAGCTCATGCACAGACACAGTAAAACAACTCAGCAATGCCATCCATTGGAACCTTGTTTCATACAGTTTCATTTAGCTTTTATCCAAAGTGAAGTACATCTGAGAGCAGATACAAGATGAGCAAAGATCTAGTCAAGAGGAAACAATCTAGATAGGTGACATAGAACAAATTCAAGTGTGATATTGGTGCCAGTAGCAGGATGCAGGGAGGTCATAGGATTTTTATTTTTTTGTTTTTTTTCGGGCTGTCAGGTGCAAAGGTGTTCAGTGAAGAGCTGGTCTTTAGTCTTTTCTTAAAGACTGAGAGGGAGTCGGCAGATTGAACAGAGTTTGGTAACTCCACCGCAGAACCACAGAGGAGGAGAGTCCAGCTATCGACCTCTAACATAAGTTGAGGTCAGACTTTAGAGGAGCTTTCTAAAGTCATCTAAGATCATCAGGTTTATCTCCTCCAGGTCATTGAGATTACAATTTATGAAAGTGCATGTTGTTTTTTTCTTTTCTTAAGTTATTTTTTGGCCTTTTTGCCTTTTTTGGGGGAGAAGAATGGGGGAAGGACCTGTGGAAAAGGGCCATGAACAGGATTTGAACTCATAACCTCCACATCAGGGACTGTAGCCCCTACATATGGGATGCCAGCTCAACCAGGTGAGCTATAGTGGCACCTTAAAAGTGCATTTCTAAATCACCGGTATAAACTTTTTTTAAAAAATGGTGCAACTACAGACACTTAATTTTGTATTTTCTCACAGGCCTCAATCACAATGCAGTTCCTCACCTCAAAAAACTAAATAATACTTTCCTGTCAAATAGAGATACTTTGGCTCAAACATTTTTGATGACAGTCCTTCAGTCCTGATCAAGATAAGCACTGAGCAGTATTTCTAACCTCATAAACACACCAGCGCTCCCTGGTGGACACATGATGCAACAACAACACTCTTTACCTCCAAAACATCTCTGCCATTACTGCTTCCATGTTTCTTATCAGTTGGCAGCTCATACTGATACGGCTGTGATAAGCTCAAACTGACTGATACGCAGCATTCATTCAACTTCCCATGCATTCCTGTGGGAAAAAAAACAGGCCTTTGATCCGGTTATTGACCTCATTCTGCTCTCACATTAAATAGAGGGCAGTCTTTGTAACAGACGGTAAGTGGTTATCAGTTTACGGTCAGATTATCACATCGGATATGCTGCATTTTTCTGATTATCTGCAATCGATTCTTGATAAAAAATGAATGAATCTAAAACGTGCTACTTTGGCTCTGATGCATCCAACAATGTCCTGCCCACAGAACTATCTGATCTGATGCACAGATTAACACAAAGCTCATTGGAGACACAAGCAATCCTTAGATTTGTTGGGTTTTTGTGTCTATTTTGTTGACCTTAGATCTAAATTAGTCAAGTTTACCCCCATAATAAATAATACTCCAGGGTTATTGCAAAGCTTTAATATTTATTATAGTCAAGTGAAGTTGTGTAGATTTTTTGTAGAGCTTTAATCCTTAATATTCAAACTAATGAACAATAAATAAATACATTTAGCCCAGTGAGAGGACTGGAAGTTGTACGAAACCTACTGCTGATGTTGTGTAATGAGAAATGATTTGAAACAGCCTCTGAATGAGGTCAGGGTTGAAACAAAACAAGCCTGTTTTTTAAGCAGCCTGATGAATGAGTCAGCTGACGTCAGTAAATAAAAGGCTGACAGGTGTACAGGTAGACAGGGCTGAAGCAGGAAGCAACCAGAAATTAGGCATGTTCATCCCCCACATTAATAATCCTGTAGAGTCTCAGCCCTGATATTTATTCTAGTAAAGTCTAGTGGCATTTTAGGTAAATTATGTAGAGTTTAAATCCTTACTATATGAATTACTCGAGTAAATTCACACCATAAATAACACGGTAGGGTCTCAGTCTTAACATTTAATATAGTAAACAGGTAAAATTGTATTTTAAAATAATTTCTGTAGAGTTTAAATCCTTAATTATCAACATTACGCGGGTAAATCGACACCATAAATAACACTGTAGGGTTTAAATCCTTATTATAGTCTGGGTAAGGTGCATTTTAGATACATTTTTTAAAGTTTTAATCCTTTTTTTTTTTTTTTTAATTACGTGGGTAAAGTCACACTGTAGGGTCTTAAGCGCAATATTTAACCTTGTTTGGTTAATTCGTGACACCAATCTTAATTTTCTGATACAAACTACTTTTGTGCGGCTCTCAATGTGCTCCTAAATAACAGCATACAGCTTGTCAACACCGAAGGCCAAATGCTGTAAAGTTTGTTCAACATCTGTGAAACACAAATTAAAGCATTTCAATCAAGTTTAGGAGTTTATATTATGCAAAATTGGGATTTAAATTTTTACTGTAAATGTACATCAGATCAAAACATCAACCCTGACAGAACCATTCCTACTTTCTAACATGTCTAATTGTGTAATTAGAAGTACTGCAGGCCTGAGTTACACTAATTAAACTGTTTTAGACACAGTTAGAGGCTGAAGGAGGACTGGAAGGTTTACTAAACTTACAGCTGAGGTTGTGAAATTAGAAATCATTTGAAACAGCCTCTGAATAAGGTCAGAGTTGAAACAAACCCAGGCTGTTGTTCTAAGCAGCCACATCAGTGACTCAGGTAAATAAGAGGGGTACAGGTGTGCAGGCCTCCAGCAGGACCCTCCTCCACTTATCCCCGCCATTTAACCTCCCTACACCATCCAGGAGGTCCGGAGCTAACGTTCCTCCAGCACCCACATCTGGACTAAAGCCCTGTCGTGGCGAGTCGCTTGCTAGCTAACGTGTCACTGTAGCTTTAGTACAACTACTCGGAGGCTGTGAGTCCAGCAGCTAACGAGCGCAGAGAAGCTGTTAGAAAGCGTTAACCTGCTCGTCCTCCTGCATCGAGGCGGCCAGCGGCAGTCCGTCCGCCAGCCGAGCGATCATCGTCAGCAGCACCATCTCTGCGAAGCGTCGTTTCTCCGCCGCAGCCCAGCAAGCGATCCAGGTGAGCAGGCGAGCGGCGTCTGACGGGGCTGCGAAGCTGACAAACACCACAGGAGCGACGCGCTGAGCTGGCCGGAAACGCTACAGCTTACGGTGCCACGCCGAAATCCCGCCGGGCTCGACGTGATGCGGAACCAACGGTTTCACGAGAAAGGTTCCGCATCACTTCACTGCTTTACGATAAAAACAACAACAACAAAAAACAATTGTAAGTAGTTTATATTTAACTCTTGCACTATAGAAGTCACGTCACGTTATTTATACAGCACATTTAAAGTAAAATAAAATTGTTGTTTCGAAATAATGATGACATTTTAAATACTGTGTGTGTGGATTTACCTGATTAATTTAAATATTAAGGATTAAATCCTTCAAAATTATATAAAATACAACCTAACTATATTATATATTAAGGTACAGACCCTACCATGTTAATAGTTATGAAGAATAAGCTGGCTAATTTAGTTTAGCTAATTTCAATATTATTATTAGCCTATTTTAACAAGCTAGTTTTAATATATAC